TATTACAAGAACCATAAGACTTTATATATCTCAAGAAATGTCTTTACAAGAATTTTTATAACAAATATTTCAGGAACCATAAGACTTAATGATAAAATATGATTATTAATTCATAATTATTCTTTAAATTTGATATATTCTGAATTTTTTATTATATATAATTCTAAACAAAATAATCTTTTTAGGAAGTATTTTTTTTAATATACATTTAATTGACAAATTTAAAAGTTAAATTTTTGTGAAAATATATGTCTATTAAGTAAATTTCTTGTTCTTTTATGATGTCATTTATTAGTAACTATATACATCTGATATTGCATTAATGTGTATGTTCTTTATTTCCTAATTAGTTAATTCGGAAATATGATGATTACCTTATTTTTCTATCAATTACCTTGGACTAATTTATATGATAATGGTGATTTGAGTTAGAAAAGCCTAAAACTATTATCCATTTAGAAAACCACAAATATAATGGTGATTTGAGATTTAGAAAATCCAAAAATATTATCTTAATTATATTTATATATATATAAATATGGATCTTAAAAATGTGATTTACTATATATATACATTTGTTTGTTTTTATATTAACAGATAAATAACACTGATGAAAGACCGTTTGTAGTTGATTACAAACCATTTTTCAGTTTGTTTCAATAGCGATATGCAAATTCAATATTATTTTCGTCTCGATAAAATTTAGAAATCTATTAAATTATTTTATATTGTACAATGGCTAAAAAAATTGACAATTTTTTGCAGGTTTCTATGGGATTTTTTATTCATAAATGTTCTTTTTATTTTATATTACTTATGAATTATATTTAAACTTTCATCACATTTTCTATGGGATTGTGATATCTATTAGATTTTTATCAGATTTTTAATATGTCACTGTCTCCTGTATATCTTACTTACATTTGTTTTTTTAATAGTTAACTTTTATTAAAAACATACTAATGATGTTAATTTTTTATTTTACTTTGGTTAACTTTCATTTGTTTTATTCTTATATACTTTTTGTGACTTTTTAGTATTTGTTTCAGTTTAATATTGAATTTAGTTCACATATTTTTTTGTGTATATATTTTAAAACATAATTTTTCTTTTAAAAAATTAAGCGACAAAGAGCCTAATTAAACCGATCCAAAAACAAACCGAACTGAATATAAATTGAACTGGACATAAACCACACCGAACCAGACTAAATAAGGTTTATTTCAGTTGAAAAAAAAATATTAAAACCGAACTCAACAAACCAAACCAAAAATGTAACGATTTGCCCACCTCTACTGCATCCTAGAGATTTGCGCAAATCTTGTCTCAGCATTGAAACTCTCACTTGTTCCACTAAGTCCCACATTTGAACTCAATAGATACTTCTGTCTCAGCATTATATTATATTTTTATACCCGCTCAGGGTGCGGGTGGGTCACCTAGTAAACATTTAAGTACATGATTAATGTAAACAAAAAATATACCACTAATATTCTAAAACAAATATTTATGTGTATAAAAGAGAGAAAAAAGGAAACCTTGTAATTTAATCGTGACCGTTGAAATCTCCCTCGATTACCTATAAATAAAGCGTCTCTCTCTCTATCATCTGATTTACAAGTGTGTTAGGGTTAAGGATGGCTCACAGATCAGCAACGGGGTCGTATTCATTCTTAACGGAGTTGTATGAGATTGTGAATGATCACTCGTTGGATGGAATCATCTCGTGGAGCAAGAACAGCAACAACAGTTTCGTCGTTTGGGATGTCGATCAGTTGTGCACGAAGGTTCTGCCCAAATCTGTAGAGTTCGGCAGGAATTTCTCAGAGTTTGTGTCGGAGCTTCTCTATCATCGGTTTCATAGAATCGGTCGGTTTGAGTTTCGGCATGAAAAGTTTGTGAGAAGTCAACCTTGGCTTTTGAAGAGGATGGTGCCGAGCAAAGCTAGCAACGACAAGTTTGGTGGTAAACTCAAAGCGAAGAGAGACAAAGCCAAAGCAAGGAAAGTTAGAGCCAAAGTTGTTCGTCTCCTGGAGAATTTGAAAATCTGATCTTTTTTTTTTTATGTGTAATGAAACTTGGCCTTTTCAGAAACAACAGTAATTCTGTTCTGTTGTATTTTTCGAATTTAGTAGATGTGTTGTATGATGATGATCCTTATTATGTCTCCGAATCTTTGATTCTTATAGTTTTCTTTGCCTTGCGGTTGTCTTTTGTGCCTTGAAAATTTGTTATATTTTTTATTCAAGTTTCCATTGAGTTGAAAAACTAAGAATGATATATACTTGTGATGGTCAAACAGATCATATAAATCGCACTATTGTGACTGAGAGAACAAAGTAAATCTCAAGGAACACGAAAGATTGTGATAACAAAGTAACATGCAAGACTCTGTTAATTCAAAGTCTACTAAAATACACAGATTTTAGGATGATCATGTATGCAACATAAATACTAACTCTGCAAATGCTGAGAAGAGATGTAATGATAATTTTATGTAAGCTTCCGCATTGAGAGATGGCAAATGGTGTGGAAGAACGAGAGAGCTTAAGTTCTTTTTTTGGAAGCTGTTGCAAACTATGGAGTCATGAAGCAATTTGGAATATCTGCATTAATCTTGATTTATGATGAGCATCGCTAACCTCTGTGGAAAGCGTAACGTGATACTATCCCACTAATATGATAATATCCACTAACGATATGGGGAGACGGCAACTAATAACACATACGATGTAACCAGTGTTCCCTAGATCCTTGTTGAGATTTGATTCAAAACCAAAACAATTATTCTGTTCCCAGATAACAGAGGAGAGTTTCGTGCTCTCAAATACTTTTTCTCCCCTCTGATATTTCGTACATGAAAACTTCTCCACATACCCCCGATCAGTACAAAGGAATACCTGAGCGACACAACAGGTGGGAATGGGCCTCGTGCTTCTCATACATGCAAGATTCAACAAATTATGGTTTCTTACCGTTTTTTTTTTTGGCCAGTGAAGTAGGTGTGCATTGTTAGCAATTGTAAGAGACTCCCCAATCTATTTTTTTTGTAAACTAATCTCTTTGTTGAAATTTGCCGATATCAAGTACATTTTTCAAAGGGGATCTATTGTTAGAGATGAATTTCGATTTATTCTGAATGCCTTTGAAATAACGAATTCATTCATATGTTCTAAGCCTTCCAGTTAATGACCCAAAGTAGAGCTGTTCAGTTCGGATCTCGGTCCGTTTTCAGTTTAATTTCGACGTTAAAACTATATCTACATTTTTGGTTTGGTTCAATTTATATACATATTACCGGGTTTTGGTTTATTTTATTGATAACGTGATTGAAAATGAATATATTTAGATTCCGTAAAAGCCCAAGCTCGTTAATTTGAATAGGGGCCTAAATTCAGGCCCAAACTTCTATATTCAGACACAACGGCACAACCGATCGCCGTTTCTTACACCCTAACAATAACATCACCATCCGGTTTATAAGCCCTAGCTTCGTCGAAACAGAGCTCTACTCTGAAACTCGCAGAGAGTATATATACATTTCACAGCTAAAGTTCACTTTTTTCTCATTGTTGGTTTAGAGAAAAGATGAAACCTTCTCAAAAGAGAGCTCGAAAACACAAAACACAATCCACCGAAAACGCCACCAGCAGCGAAGTTAAAGAAGCTTCCGTCACACACCTGAACGACTCTCCCTCCCCTGAGCCTCCCGAAACCAACCCATCTCCTTCACTACTCAACCGCGGGAGAGCCAAAAAACGCCGACTGCACAACAACAACCCATCTGAAACCACCGAGCAACAACAACGCGGCGGCGGCGTAGTCAGCCAGCGGTCGTCTCTTCCTCATCACCACCACTCCGATTGCACCAACAACAATGGGACGATTGTTTCATCAGCACCAACAACGGAATCTCTACCTGCTGCTCCGAGCTGGGAGACTGTGGTGAAAGTTGTGCCTTCTATGGACGCTGTGGTGAAAGTCTTTTGTGTCCACACTGATCCTAACTTCTCCCTCCCGTGGCAGAGGAAACGACAGTACAGCTCCGGTAGTAGTGGTTTTATTATAGGAGGAAGAAGGGTTTTGACGAATGCACATTCCGTTGAGCATCATACTCAAGTTAAGCTCAAGAAGCGTGGCTCTGACACTAAGTATCTAGCTACTGTCTTAGCCATTGGAACTGAATGCGACATTGGTATGTTTCTTCTTGTTTTAGGGTCCAAATGGTAATCACAACTACAGTATACGGTGTGCGCGAACAAAAACATAAGTACATTGCTTATGTTAGAGATTTTTAATAGTAACAAAAGCATACATAGATACATAGGTATTCTTACTATTGTTGCGTGCTCGGACCCTTAGTTTGTGTTGCAATGGAACAGTTTCTTGATTATTTTTTGGATTATTTTCAGCGTTGTTGACAGTTAGTGATGATGAGTTTTGGGAAGGAGTGTCTCCTGTGGAGTTTGGAGATTTACCAGCTTTGCAAGATGCTGTGACTGTTGTTGGTTACCCAATTGGTGGAGACACAATCTCCGTCACGAGCGGCGTTGTTTCTCGGATGGAGATACTGTCTTATATACATGGCTCGACAGAGCTTTTGGGGTTGCAGATTGATGCGGCTATAAACTCTGGGAACTCTGGTGGTCCTGCGTTTAACGACAAGGGGAAATGCGTCGGCATTGCGTTTCAGTCGTTGAAACATGAAGATGCTGAGAACATTGGTTATGTCATCCCAACGCCGGTGATTGGACATTTCATTCAAGATTATGAGAAGCATAATAAATACACAGGTACTTTTAAGTCTTTGGTGTTACGCTATCTCTAATTACATGTCTCTCATACTTGTACTGTTTTTAGGCTTTCCTGTGATTGGGATTCAGTGGCAGAAGATGGAGAATCCAGACTTGCGTAAGAAGATGGGAATGGAGTCTCATCAAAAGGGAGTGAGGATAAGGAGGATCGAGCCTACCGCCCCGGAGTCACAGGTTTTGAAGCCCTCTGATATCATCCTTAGCTTCGATGGAGTCAATATTGCTAATGATGGAACTGGTAATGACATTTACTTACTAACATTCATGGAGTGAGCTTTCTCTCTGTTTATAACATTGTTTGGACTTTCAGTTCCATTTAGGCATGGAGAAAGAATTGGCTTTAGCTATCTTATATCTCAAAAGTACACTGGAGATTCTGCTCTTGTGAAGATCCTGCGTAACAAAGAGATACTTGAGTTCAAAGTAAAACTTGCAATCCACAAGAAGCTAATCCCTGCACACATAAGTGGCAAAACTCCTTCTTACTTCATCGTTGCTGGCTTTGTATTCACTACTGTCTCCGTTCCTTATCTTCGCTCTGAGGTTCTTATACTCTCTATCTCTCTCTCTCTTATTCTATCTCACATACACTGTAACCATTTCCCATTATATGTTTTTGCAGTATGGAAAAGAATACGAGTTTGATGCACCTGTCAAGATTTTGGAGAAACATCTTCATGCAATGGCTCAATTCGTGGACGAGCAACTTGTTGTAGTTTCACAGGTTGGTTCCTTTTGCGCGATCATCATTATTCTTTGCGTTTGATATCGAAATCTAAACATCCATTTTATTATTATTTTCAGGTTCTTGTTTCTGACATTAACATTGGTTATGAGGAGATTGTCAATACCCAGGTTTGTATAAATTGCCATAATCATGTGTTGATGATGTTTCCATCAAACTCTAAATGGTTTAGTCTCTTGTCTGTGTAGGTTCTTGCTTTCAATGGCAAACCTGTGAAAAACTTGAAATGTTTGGCTGAGATGGTGGAGAATTGTGAAGATGAATACATGGAGTTTAATCTTGATTATAATCAGGTATGAATGATGATGATCTCACGAACTTTATACATTACTTATGACACAACTTTTTTTTTGCTAAAACTCTATTGGTGCTTTGTACAGATTGTTGTTCTGGAAACAAAGACTGCAAAAGAGGCAACTTTAGATATTCTGACTACACATTGCATACCTTCTGCTATGTCTGATGATCTCAAGACTTAAACAAGAAACTGAAAACAGAGATGGAAGAAGAGAGTGAGAGAGAGATTTTGCTCCGTGGAAGGCACACAAAAGCAAATAGAGAGTCATGGAAGACAAAGAGCTTTGAAAGCTTAAACCAATATCATTTATCTTCTTTGATTTTTTACTTTTTTATACTTTTGCACTTGCAGGACGAAACACAAAATCAGAGAAAAAAAAAAGCTTTTAAGAAGCATTATGTGTCTCTGATTTCTGTTTTGAATTTGATCAACAAAAGATGAGAGTCCAAATCGTAAAAGGGTAAGTGCATGCCAAAAAAGAAGAGGTCTCAGATCTCATTTGGTGGTCCTATGCAAAGCATACTCGTTTGTATGACACCGCATTGTTTACTATGAGCTCTGGTGGGAAGTTAATCTCGGACTTCAGAGAACCATACTAAGCATTTACTAGGATCTTACGAGGAAAGCAAATTTCCTCGTAAGATCCTCGAAAACTTACGAGAAAATATTTTCCTCGTAAGACTATAGTAAATTTACGAGGATCTTACGAGGAAAAAGTACTTTTCCTCGTAAAGCCGTAGTAAAGACTTTTCTCGTAAAGGCATAGTAAAATATTACTACGAAATTAGGAGGAAACAGTTTATTACTACGAAATTAGGAGGAAATGGATAGGAAATATCGAATTTAAATAAAACACCTGTTTTGTACCTATTTTTCCTAGCAATTTCCTAATAAATGCTCAGATTCGAAAATTTCTATAAATACCACCTTCTTTGATTCATTTGAAACACACCAAGAAAAATCAGCTATAAGCTTGATCAAACACAAAAAAATGTCCGGTCCGGGAAATATTTTCGAGTTGCGGCAGTGGATGTATTCACACAGAGATAATAACGGGAGGGTGACGAACGAATTTCTGGAAGGGTTGGTAAGATGTTCTGTCCTTGTCGGAAATGCTGCAATAGCAAATTAGGCCCTCGTGAAAATGTTTGGAAGCATTTAATAAATAGAGGTTTCATGCCATATTATTATATTTGGTATCAACATGGAGAAGATGCTAGTTGTAGGAATGAAGGTAGCAGTAGTAATCAGGTTAAATTACCGGTTGATCATTTGCGTAATGAAGGTAGCAGTAGTTATAGCTATGATCATCACCAAGAGGAACAAATGGTAGATTGTGATAGGGTTCATGATATGGTAGGTGATGCATTTGTAACTCATGATGATGATGAAGTTGAAGAACCTAACTTAGATGCAAAAAAGTTTTACGAAATGTTAGAAGCTGCAAATGAGCC